GAGGAACGCTCCACTCTGCCCCACCTCGTCTCTGATAATAATAATAATCATAATAATAAAAATAATCCAGTGTTAATGAAAGGCTTACCTGCTCCGACTGAAGGAGCCACAGAGATTAAAGATAAACAGAAACACTTCAGAGCTAATTACAGCACGTGTGACTGAGCAGATGAGCATGTTTGGTTTGGAGGGTTCTGGTGTATCTAGAACTCTGGTCTGAGATTGAGTTCTGTCTGTAATTTTTTTTCTGTTGTACAGAAAAACAAAAATCCTAACGAGTCTATTTTCTGGACAGTTCTGACTCTAGAATTTCTAGAGTTTAATCAATTCTGTCTGGAGAATTTTGAGTTTCTAGAATTGAGGGTTTGTAGAATTCACTGTGTAGAAATCTCTGAGATTTTAGCATCGTCTCTACAGAATTCCAAAAATTTGAATTCTAGAAATCATGTGGGGTTTCTAGATTTCCACTGCTTTTCCATTTAAAGTTTTAGAATTCTATGGAGTTTGTAGAATTATCTCTGTAGAATTACCTCTGTAGAATATGGAGTTTATAGAATTATCTCTACAGTGTAGAGTTTGTAGAATTATCTCTGCAGAGTGTGGAGTGTGTAGAATGATATCTGTAGAGTGTGGAGTTGATAAAATTTTCTTTGTGGAGTGTGGAGTTTATAGAATTACTTCTGTAGAATATGGAGTTTGTAGAAATGTCTGTAGAGTGTGGAGTTTGTAAAATTTCCTCTATAGAATGTGGAGTTTGTAGAATTATCTCTGTAGAATATGGAGTTTGTAGAAATGTCTGTAGAGTGTGGAGTTTGTAGAATTATCTCTGTAGAATATGGAGTTTGTTAAAATGTCTGTAGATGGTGGAGTTTGTAGAATTATCTCTGTTGATGGTGGAGTTTGTAGAATTACCTCTGTTGATGGTGGAGTTTGTAGAATTATCTCTGTAGAATATGGAGTTTGTTAAAATGTCTGTAGATGGTGGAGTTTGTAGAATTATCTCTGTAGAATATGGAGTTTGTTAAAATGTCTGTAGATGGTGGAGTTTGTAGAATTATCTCTGTTGATGGTGGAGTTTGTAGAATTACCTCTGTTGATGGTGGAGTTTGTAGAATTACCTCTGTTGATGGTGGAGTTTGTAGAATTATCTCTGTTGATGGTGGAGTTTGTAGAATTATTTCTGTTGATGGTGGAGTTTGTCAAATTTATAGAATTATCTATGTAGAGTTTACAGAACTCTGTCTGAAAGCTCAGTGAATCAGAGTATTGATCCCGGGTGGTCAGCGGTCAGACTCTTCATAAGCTAATATCTGTTTTGTGGACCTGCTGAAGAGCTGATGAAGGTCCAGCTGAAGAAAAGGTCAAATCTGACCGTGAACTCAGACTCGCTCCTCTTCAGGAATCCCGAAATAACCGTCTCCCCATCTGAGAGTTTACTTTTGGCAAAATCCCCCTCAGAATGGAGGATTATGGGCTGTACGTTGTTGCCTGGTAACCCACTGGGGCCTTTCAGCTGGACTGTAAAATGTGAGATGATGGGGGAGCTGAGAGGGATCAGAGAGAGGAATGGAGGAGTGTTCGCCTCTTCAAAGTGCGGTACATGTTCAAGAGCCGCACCTGGATTAAAGCGAAAGTTTGATTAAAAAAACTAATTTAAAGTTTTAAATTAGAAAGATTAGTTAATGCTTAGTTCCCATTAGTGTCCAGCATCACAACCATCTCTATGAAAGAACACATTACATGGTATTATATATACCTGTATGAATATTTAAAATATTATTACTGTTATATATATATATATATACTATTAAATTATATTATTATACTAATATTAATTATCTTACTAGTGGTAGTAAGAAAATATACACTACAAAAGTTTGGAATCATTTTTTGTAGTATTTTGGTTGTTTTATGTACGATAAAAAAGGAGTATGAAGTGTGAAAGTTGTCAAAGTGTAATAAAAGTTATGCATAAATAAATATGTGGTAATATTTTATTGATAGTGATTTGTTTGATGTTATGTGCCTCGACGTGATAGTAACTTAAAATACATTATGGATATTAATTATAGGGCGGCACGGTGGTGCAGTGGGTAGCGCTGTCGCCTCACAGCAAGAATGGCCTGGGTTTGATTCCCGGCCGGGTGACCAGGGTCATCTCTGTGTGGAGTTTGCCTGTTCTCCCCGTGTCTGCGTGGGTTTCCTCCGGGTACTCCGGTTTCCTCCCACAGTCCAAAGACATGCAGTCAGGCTGATTGGACACGCTAAATTGCCCCTAGGTGTGTGTGTGACTGTGTATGTCTGTCTGTCTGCCCTGTGATGGACTGGCGACCTGTCCAGGGTGTATCCTGCCTTCCGCCCAATGACAGCTGGGATAGGCTCCAGCACCCCACCGCGACCCAGAAGGATAAGCGGTTTAGATTATGTATGTATGTATTAATTATACTTATATTAAAAATAACTTCATGTTGTCATTTTACAATCATCTTAACGTTTTATCAGTCGGGACATATGTAACATTTATTTATTTATTTATTTATTTATTAACAGCTTTATACCAGTTGTACGCACTTATAATGTATATATCTCTGCTTTTGGAACAAAACCTCCAAATATCTCTAAAATGGTAACTTTACAGGAGACGGAAAAAACCTACTTTACTTTTAATGTAAGTCAATGGAACCAGAATTTTTGAATAAATTTGTGGTCATGTCTTTTGGTCCGTTGATCGTGGGATTAATACACCATGTGAAGAACAACAGGTATTTTTAAACTATGTCAAAAACTCAAAAGCGGCAAAAACGTAAGTACGAGGTTTTGTTCCTACAGCAGCGACATACACCTACATTAAAATCATTTTATATATTTTTGCGCTGCTATGTTGCTTCTATATCATTAAAAAAACATTGATTTCAGACTTTTGAATGCTAGTTGATGCTGGATTAGGGCCTAAAAACTTTCTGGAAACAATCCTATTTAAAGAATCTGTTGAAAATGATGTTATAAAGTGAGGGAAGAGAGAGAGAGAGAGAGAGAGAGAGAGAGACGGAGGGAAGGCAGAGTTATATTTAACCGCGGGCGGAGGTGTATGTTCGCGCGAGTAAACATGCAGACGGGTTGTTTACAGCCGTCAAACTCCGACCCGTGCGGCGTCTGATCTACGGGCTTTGATAAAAGCAGAACGGCGCTGTCATATTAAAAGGTTATCAGACCAGATCAGAAGCTGATTGGCTGTCAACATCCTGGCGTTGCCACGGCAGCAGAGGAGTATGAAGTTCGAGGATCTTTGCGAGTGTTCAGAAGACTCTCCCCTCAGCGCTGATGCGTCTGTGTGAGGTGTGAAAGTCACAGATACTCAATCTTTCTGGAACTCTATATGAATTCATTCTGACTCTTATCAGAACAAATAGAGACACTGCAGACTCGAGGCTGATGACCCAGGATGTGTGTAATCGGCTACATGACTGTATTTAACGGTCAAATTTTTATTAATTGTTAGAACAGTGCAGGCCGAAGCCCAGCTGCAGCGCTGTATGTCACTCTGATAGAATCCGGGATTGTAGCTATCGTTCAAATACATCTTTAAACATCTTTTAAAGCGAAACCTTCGGCACCTCCAGCAGACGATGCTGCGCAGACGCTCACAGGAGAACTACGGATAAATCAACAAGCAGCAGGCTAACAACAGCAGCAGCTCCAGTTCCCCTCGAGATCATTGACTCTACATATATATGATATACTCTCACTGACTGTATATTTGATATATGTGAAATATACACTCGTTGACTGTCTATATGATGTATATGATATACACACAATGGTGAACATGCAGCTAGTGCTGCTGTCATTGGTCGTTCACACTTCAGTGATCGTGTAATATGACCTGAATGTATCGCAGAACAGCAATAATAATTCCAGACATCTGATACTGAAGTGATGGAAGCACCATTAGCCAAAACGCCACTGTACTGTCTGATATACACACTGTACTGTCTGATATACACACTGTACTGTCTGATATACACATGTCTGAGAACATCAACCCCTTTATCCCCCCTTAACAAACACTCTCTCACTGCACTGGGAGTCTCACTCGTCATTTAAAAACACAATTAAAAACACTATGGATTCAGCTCTGTGACTCAGTGGTCAATAGAGAGAGAGAGAGAGAGAGAGAGAAGAGAGGGAGTGTAAATGGTGAGCAGGCAGCAACATGTACTGACCAGAAATTAATAGCACCATCAACTCCCCCCCTTCTTTCTTGCCTCTCTCTCTCTCTCTCTCTCTCTCTCTCTCTCTTTCTCTCTTTCTCTCTTCCTCTCTCTCCCTCTAGCTTTTCTTTCTCTCTGATTCAGTCTCTCTCTCCCTCTCTCTCTTTCTTTCTGTTCTCATTCTTCATCTCTCTCTCTCTCTATCTCTCTCTCTTTTTCTCTCTCTCTCTTTCTGTCTTCATTCTTCATCTCTCTCTCTCTCTCTCTCTCTCTCTCTTTCTCTCTCTCTCTCAGTAGTGTTGATATTAGACTCTTGGGTGTGTAAATGAGTCACTGACAGTGTGTGTGTGTGTGTGTGTGTGTGTGTGTGTGTGTGTGTAGATTAAATTTCGGGGGGGGGGCAGTGGGGTGTGTTTGTGTGTGTTACAGATGAGAGCGACATTTAAAAGACAGTCAGACCAATCAGCAGCTACAAAGACTTTATTACTATTTATTTATTTATTTATTTATTTATTTGAGGAACAGAGACTAGATGGAGAGATATAAACACAGAGAGAGAGAGAGGCTCAGCTGTATTTCCAGCCAGTAGACATCCTGCTTACAGCTTATGAACAAACAAACAGAAAAAACATTCAGTCCGTCCTTTTCTTTTTTTCTTTTCCTTAGTTTGTGTTTGTTAATTTTCTTCCTTATGATCTGATCTGTAATCAGTTATTTTAGCCGCGCTCCAACATGCACACCAGTCAGCCTTGCTTGATCTTACTGACTTTTGACCTCTGACCTCTACAGAGCCGATGCGGACCCCGAAGACCCTGAAGATCGCTGAGACTCAGGCCCGGTTTATCGCGGTGGACTGGGAGTCCTTGGGCTACAACATCACTCGCTGCCACACCTTCAACGTCACCATCTGCTACCACTACCTGACCAGCAGGAACCTGACCAAGAGCGACTGTCTGGACATGGACCCCAAAGCTCCCAGACATGTGGTGGACAACCTGCCCCCGAACACCAACATCAGCCTCAAAATGATCCTCACCAACCCAGAGGGGCGCAAAGAGAGCGAAGAAACAATCATACAGACTGAAGAGGATGGTACGGTGCACCAACATCAACCCCAACACTAATACCATCATCAACACCAACATCAGCACCAACATCAACACCAACACTAATACCATCATCAACACCAACATCAGCACCAACATCAACCCCAACACTAATACCATCATCAACACCAACATCAGCACCAACATCAACACCATCATCAACACCAACATCAACCCCAACACTAATACCATCATCAACCCAAACACCATCATCATCAACACCAACATCAGCACCAACATCAACACCAACATTAACACCATCAACACTAACAACACACAAACACCAACATCATCAACACCAGTACTAACACCCACATCATCAACACCAATATGAACACCATCAACACTAATGACACACCAACACTAACATCAACATAAACGGCAACGCCACCATCAGCACCAACACTGACACCATCATCAACTCCAATATCAACACTAACACTGACACCATCATCATCAGCTCCAATATCAACACCAACACTGACACCATCATCAACTCCAATATCAACACTAACACCATCATCATCAGCTCCAATATCAACACCAACACTAACACCATCATCATCAGCTCCAATATCAACACCAACACTGACACCATCATCAACTCCAATATCAACACTAACACCATCATCATCAGCTCCAATATCAACACCAACACTAACACCATCATCATCAGCTCCAATATCAACACCAACACTAACACCATCATCAACTCCAATATCAACACCAACACTAACACCATCATCAACTCCAATATCAACACTAACACTGACACCATCATCATGAGCTCCAATATCAACACCAACACTGACACCATCATCATCAGCTCCAATATCAACACCAACACTGACACCATCATCAACTCCAATATCAACACTAACACCATCATCATCAGCTCCAATATCAACACCAACACTAACACCATCATCATCAACTCCAATATCAACACTAACACTAACACCATCATCATCAACTCCAATATCAACACCAACACCATCATCATCAGCTCCAATATCAACACTAACACTCACACACTATCATCATCAGCTCCAATATCAACACCAACACTAACACCATCATCATCAGCTCCAATATCAACACCAACACTAACACCATCATCATCAGCTCCAATATCAACACCAACACTAACACCATCATAAACACCAATGACAACATCAACACCATCAACAATATTACCTCAGTCATCAACACCAATGCCAACTAGTATGATGCTAAATAAATGATGTGGCTTTTTCTACAATGGATTGATTTTTTTCTCGCATTACTTATCTTGAGATAATTGTCTCAGGATATTTTATGCGGACCCTCTGAGTACAGTAAGTGCACACATCAGTGTAACCATACCCAAAGCGGCTGTTGTTTTTAGTTGTGCTTCAACACCATCAACACTAATGACACACCAACACTAACATCAACATAAACGGCAACGCCACCATCAGCACCAACACTGACACCATCATCAACTCCAATATCAACACTAACACCATCATCAACTCCAATATCAACACTAACACTGACACCATCATCAACTCCAATATCAACACTAACACTGACACCATCATCATCAGCTCCAATATCAACACCAACACTGACACCATCATCAACTCCAATATCAACACTAACACTGACACCATCATCATCAGCTCCAATATCAACACCAACACTGACACCATCATCAACTCCAATATCAACACTAACACCATCATCATCAGCTCCAATATCAACACCAACACTGACACCATCATCATCAGCTCCAATATCAACACCAACACTAACACCATCATCAACTCCAATATCAACACCAACACTGACACCATCATCAACTCCAATATCAACACCAACACTGACACCATCATCAACTCCAATATCAACACTAACACTGACACCATCGTCATCAGCTCCAATATCAACACCAACACTAACACCATCATCATCAGCTCCAATATCAACACCAACACTGACACCATCATCATCAGCTCCAATATCAACACCAACACTGACACCATCATCAACTCCAATATCAACACTAACACCATCATCATCAGCTCCAATATCAACACCAACACTAACACCATCATCATCAGCTCCAATATCAACACCAACACTGACACCATCATCAACTCCAATATCAACACTAACACCATCATCATCAGCTCCAATATCAACACCAACACTAACACCATCATCATCAGCTCCAATATCAACACCAACACTAACACCATCATCAACTCCAATATCAACACCAACACTGACACCATCATCAACTCCAATATCAACACTAACACTGACACCATCATCATCAGCTCCAATATCAACACCAACACTGACACCATCATCATCAGCTCCAATATCAACACCAACACTGACACCATCATCAACTCCAATATCAACACTGACACCATCATCATCAGCTCCAATATCAACACCAACACTAACACCATCATCATCAACTCCAATATCAACACTAACACTAACACCATCATCATCAACTCCAATATCAACACCAACACCATCATCATCAGCTCCAATATCAACACTAACACTCACACACCATCATCATCAGCTCCAATATCAACACCAACACTAACACCATCATCATCAGCTCCAATATCAACACCAACACTAACACCATCATCAACTCCAATATCAACACTAACACCATCATCATCAGCTCCAATATCAACACCAACACTAACACCATCATCATCAGCTCCAATATCAACACCAACACTAACACCATCATCAACTCCAATATCAACACCAACACTGACACCATCATCAACTCCAATATCAACACTAACACTGACACCATCATCATCAGCTCCAATATCAACACCAACACTGACACCATCATCATCAGCTCCAATATCAACACCAACACTGACACCATCATCAACTCCAATATCAACACTGACACCATCATCATCAGCTCCAATATCAACACCAACACTAACACCATCATCATCAGCTCCAATATCAACACCAACACTAACACCATCATCATCAACTCCAATATCAACACCAACACTAACACCATCATCATCAACTCCAATATCAACACCAACACTAACACCATCATCATCAGCTCCAATATCAACACCAACACTAACACCATCATCATCAACTCCAATAACAACACCAACACCATCATCATCAGCTCCAATATCAACACCAACACTAACACCATCATAAACACCAATGACAACATCAACACCATCAACAATATTACCTCAGTCATCAACACCAATGCCAACTAGTATGATGCTAAATAAATGATGTGGTTTTTTCTACAATGGATTGATTTTTTTCTCGCATTACTTATCTTGAGATAATTGTCTCAGGATATTTTATGCGGACCCTCTGAGTACAGTAAGTGCACACATCAGTGTAACCATACCCAAAGCGGCTGTTGTTTTTAGTTGTGCTTCAGCCGGTGTTTATAGATAACAGCGAGTCATGCAGTGTCAGGAAGTCTTGTGTCGTTTAGAATTTTAGAAATAACATGTTAGCGAGGTTAGCTAGCTACCACAGCGCTTCCCTCTTTACCTTCTGTCAGCAAACAAAACCCAGATTGTTTTGATGTCTTTTTCCCTCTTAACAGTCAGGCGTTTCATCCTGGCGATGAATAGCACTGTGTGTGTGCGTGTGTGTGTGTGTGTGTGTGTGTGTGTGTGTGTGTGTGCGTGTGTGTGTGTGCGTGTGTGTGTGTGTGTGTGTGTGTGTGCGTGTGTGTGATAGAGGAGCTGAAAGCTGAGGTTTGTGTCGCCTAGGGGGCTGGGTGACGGGGGGTGTGGGGTGTAGGGGACCAAATTGGGGGATGTATGTGGTCTATTCCAGTCACATGACCTGATCACACACTTCAGCCTGTCTACTCCGACAGTGTGTGTGTGTGTGTGTGTGTGTGTGTGTGTGTGTGTGTGTGTGTGTGAGAGGGAGAGAGAGAGAGAGAGAGTCCCAGGACGCATCCCATCTCAGAACTGAAGCTCCATAACACCCACACACACAAACATACACACACAAACATACACACACAAACATACACACACAAACACCCCTCAGGACTGTTTCTATTCAGAGGAGACACACAGTGAGAGAGAGAGACTGACAGAGAGGGAAAAAAGGGAGAGAGAGAGAGAGAGAGAGAGAGAGTAAGAGAAGAAAGGGAAGAGCAAGAGAAGAAAAAGTGACAGACAGAGGAAAATTCTTTATGCTGAAAATATACACTGTGTACTGTAGAATATACTGTATTGTATAGGAATATGCTGTGTTCTGTTACATACTGTTTTCTATAAAATACACTATAGATTGTAAGTATGTGCTCTCGCTCTCTCTCTCTCTCTCTCTCTCTCTATATATATATATATATATATATATATATACACGCATAGAAAGTATGCAATATATGTTACGTGCATGTGATGTGCAAATGTTTTGGCACCCCTTGTCAAATTCCATACTGTTGTTGATTTTCTGAGTGTGAATAAGTGAACACATCCTCTACAGACTGTACTTGGTGTGCTGTATGATATGCCAAATATCCCATATTTCAGGGTTAAAATATGCACTCCAGTGCAAAAAAAATGGGCCGAACCCAAAATAGCAATACGTCAAACAAATAGATGGAGCACGTTAGTGTGGGAGAGGTTTTCGCTTTGATCTCTTTAAATGTTGAGGTTTTGTGTGTACGTTTGAGGACAGTCTTTTACCGAAAGAAGAGTCAGTATTGATCCACTCAGCATTGATGGCTTCAAACAGCTGAAAAACATTGCTGAGCTAGTTTCTGTTTAATGTAAGACCAAATCTTCTCTATAGGGTTTAAATCTGGACACTGACCAGCCAAAACCATCAGAAAAAAAAAAGTTATATTTTGAGTTTGGCCTATTTTTCTGCCCAGGAGTGCACTGTTGATGATTCTGAATGTTGAATGATTAAATGATATGGAGAGACACACAGTGATGGGATTTTTGGCCCAGTTCCAGCACACAGTGTCGTTGAACGAGGCTCCACTCTGTGTTTTTGGACACTGTGATGTTCAAAACTTTAGACCGTTAGAGTTTTCTGGAGTGTAACAATAGAAAGAGTGCAGCCAGAAGTGAAGGGTGAGATCATCATTACTGAGAGGAACAAACCCCATTAACACACACACACACACACACACACACACACACACACACATCTGTGTAACCATACCCAAAGCGCTAGTTATGACCCTCAGTGGTCCATTAAAGCTTTCTGTCTACAGTACACTTACTGTAAGTACTGTAACACTCAATGTGGGACCCTCAGGGCCTTCTAGACCTCCAGAGAAGGCCTGATGGTTTCTGTAAAATAAAAATAACACACATTTGTAATTTATAGTTATTGTTTATTTAATAGAGTCATCATGTTTGTTGTATTTAAACTACAGGTATTGTAGTAATACTCTTACATTTTTGAAGGCCCAACAGAAAAGGATTGTTTTCTTTGTGGTATGTAGGTAGATACAGCCAAGCTTCTCTCCCATTGGTTAGGACTTCAGGAGCTGGACTTGAAGGCCTTACATGTCAGATGAACTACCAACATAATTAGGAAGTGACCGAGAAATCGACCAGTCATGCTTTGATTTACAATGGGACCGATTTTGTGAGGGAAAAAGTAACTCTAGAGCTTCTGGAGGTTCTAGATACGTCACTGACTGTGAATATGAGCCGTAGCTTAAGCAGCGTTCTGGTTCATTGTTAGGAATGTAAAACATTTACTGACAAAACATCTTTGCTGTTCATTTTTACTCATATTCATATACTCTTTAGTGTCATGTTTTAAGCTTAATATCATAAATAAATCTAGGGCTCAACGGGTTCATACAGTGGTGCTTGAAAGTTTGTGAACCCTTTAGAATTTTCTGTATTTTTGCATAAATTTGACCTAAAACTTCATCACATTTTCACACGAGTCCTAATAGTAGTTATATTTGGAGAAAGGAAAACACTGCATTCCAGCATAAAAACCTTATCCCATCTGTGAAACATGGTGGTGGTAGTGTCATGGTTTGGGCCTGTTTTGCTGCATCTGGGCCAGAATGGCTCACCGTCATTGATGGAACAGTGAACTCTGAATTATACCAGCAAGTTCTAAAGGAAAGTGTCAGGACGTCTGTCTGTGAGCTGAAACTCAAGAGAACGCAAGTCATGCGGCAAAACAACGACCCTAAGCACACAAGCCGTTCTACCAAAGAACGGTTAAAGTAGAATAAAGTTAATGTTTTGGAATGACCCAGTCAAAGTTCTGACCATACTCCTATAGAAATGTTGTGGAAGTACCTGAAGCAGCAGTTCATCGGAGGAAACCCACCAACATATCAGAACTGAAGCTGTTTTGTACAGAGGGGCTAAAACTCCACCCAGCCGATGTTCAGGACTAATCAACAGCTACCGGAACCGTTTAGCTGCAGTTATTGCTGCACAAACAGGGTCACAGCAGATACTGAAAGCAAAGGTTCACATACTCCCTCACAGATCTGTAATATTGGATCATTTTCCTCAATAAATAAATGACCAGGTCTAATATTTTTGTCTCAGTTGTTTAATTTGGTTCCCTTTATGTACTGTTAGGGCTCGTGTGAAAATCTGAAGAAGTTTTAGGTCAAATTTATGCAAAAATATAGAAAATTCTTAAAGGTTCTCAAACTTTCAAACACCACTGTAGTTTTGTCTTAAACTGTGACTTTGTGAGTCGAATCCCAAACTTTTGTTTGGAGTGAAATAAGAACAGTTCCGCTGTCCAGATGATCAGGAAAGGCTTTTGTGTCTGGATTACATTTTCTCCAGTAACACCTTTCCACCGTTTCTTACTCTAGTACTTCTGCCTGATTCACTGCCACCGCCGTTCTCACTGCAGGAAGAGGTTTGGTCTGAGTTTGGTCATTCACATAGTGGAAGAAGTAGTACTTAGAGACGGTTGCTAAGCAGTGGTTGGTTGTGTGTTGTATCAGTTATTGTTTTGCAAGCGGTCAAGATGATTTTAATTTAGAACATGGCTTCTAAACTCATCTGGGGGCCGGATAAGAGCCATAATGGGGCCGCATGTTTGACGCCCCTGCTTTAGAGGCAGGATAACATTATAGTGTTACTTACAGTGCATTTAACACTCTCTCTCTCTCTCTCTCTCTCTCTCTCTCTCTCTCTCTCTCTCTCTCTCTCTCTCTCTCTAGTTCCTGGCCCCGTTCCCAGTGCCTCTCTGAAAGCGACTCCGTTTGAGGATCGAATCTTTCTGCACTGGAAAGAGCCTCTGGAGCCCAACGGGATCATTACACAGTATGAGGTAATACTGTCTGGGTGTGTGTCTGTGTGTGTGTGTGTACCGGTTGGACTCCAGTTCTGGGGTCAACAGTATGTGTGTGTGTGTCTGTGGTTGTAAATCTGTGACTCTCTGTGGAGAGTTAAAGTGTAAGAGCAGTAATGGCCTCACTGCTTCACTCAGCACATACACCATATGCCATATAAGTATATAGTCCATCACCAGCATATTTAATTTCCAGTCAAAACAGCCATTGAGTACAAGTATTTTACATTTCAGAAGATATTTCTGAGAAGATTAGAAATAAGATAATATGAAGCAGAGGAAATGTGGCTCCTAACAACCACCTGGAAGACACCAAAACTGCCCCCATCTGAAATACTGAAAAAAATGAATGATTTGTGCTTAATGAGATTTTTGATGGAAATTAATTCAGTGGTAAATAAATGGTGCTGTCTGACTTCTGTATAGTACTGTAACTTTAATATATCCGCTACATTCTATAAAGCCGATATTAATTAGTAAATCCAGCTGATAATGCGGCAGTATTTACAACTGAAAAATATATAGTGCGAATCACATAATGCAAAAAACTTTATGTGAGAAGAACTGATGGAAAATAAGATCTAATTAACATAAACTGACAAAACTGCAGTGAACTGAATAAATACTTATATTTAAGGATCCATAATATATCAGAGACATATTGGAATCAGTAGCTAATTGGTTAAAAAATTAGCAACATCAGACAGATGTTTAGGATGATATTTCAAATGATGATGAAAAGCGATGATGTTACTATTGTAAAATATCTGTATTTTATTCTTTTTACTGTACTTGTAACTCAACAGAATAATATTATTGGAACGTTAATCCAAGATTTAGTCCCAATTTCCTCATTTTGTAAATGTTTATGAATCTATATTGGCAAATATGTATATTAACAAATGTTGAATATCGACATTGGGCCACTATTTCCATATCAGTGCATCCTAAATTATATTATATTATATAATATTATAGGATGTAGGTTTAGGTTGTTTGAATTAAAGGAATTTAGCAGTTGAAAACTGGCAGTCATATAAAATACTGTCATTAAAGTTCGATTTAAATAAAACTTGTGCTGTCTGTTTAGTTTATGACTATATAATGTTACATCAACTCATATAATCAATCAAAAAAGATCAGTAGTGGTGTCAGTGTCCAGTTGCACCCATAAGACGTTTTGAGGACATGCCCTTTTTTTTTTAGAAATTTCTAAGAGTAATGCTAGATTCCAAAAAAGTCTTGTTTTCCTTGATGTGAAGAGCAGATTTTGCCTAAATAATGAGTTTCTAAACACTGTCTTTTGTTTACAGATCAGCTACAGCAGCGTGCGTTCGTTTGACCCCTCCGTGCCGTTATTGCGCCCCCCGGTGATGGTTTCATTACCCTGGAACTCGTCCCATCACGTCTTCTCTCAGCTCCACCCAGGAACCACCTACCAGTTCCTGATCAGAGCCAGAACCAGCAAAGGCTTCGGACCCCCGACCACCATCAACATCACCACTAATATATCAGGTACGGAGAGAGAGACACGCCTCGCCTTTAAAAAGGCGTCATATTAGCCTCGTAACTCCAACACAGAGCTGAAGAAGCAGATCAGAAACCAAACATGCTGATTCTTCACTCTGCCTGAGTGCAGAATTTCTGCACAATTCAGTGTTTGAGATAACAGAGAGATTCAGAGTGGTTTGGTGTGAAATGGTTCAGATGTCTTTACAGTGGTGGTGATAGGAACCAGGGGTCGCCATGACTACAACACAGATATAGACATTTTATTTACTATCCAGAACCACCAGTGAACCTACACGAGTCTTCTGAGTTTATATGGAATGTTGATGATGGAAAATAGTGGAAAATCTGAAATAATAAGTTTTCTTTGGGGACTATTTTGCCTCACAGCACCTTGCATATTATGTATCCCTCCACCATGAATGGAGTTTAAGGCTGTAGTCCTCCGAAAACTATCATAAAACAGTGTCTCAGTCATCAGGCAGTGAATTCATAACCATTTCATGTAGTAACTTTCTGTGAGGGAGCTTTTAGAGGTGGACGTCTGGTTCCTGTCACTACCACTGTGAACAATTCTGACTCGGTAAGTTTCTCTAAAATGGAGCGTTTCACACCAAACCACGTTCAGACTCTGTTTACATCTCAACCATACAGTTTACAAATGTTTAAAATTTGATAGAATTCCCCCTTTGTTTGCATTTACATGTGTTTTTCAGCTACTGATTAATGAAGTCATGCCCAAAACACTCTGCTGGTGCCTCCAGCTGTGTGAGTGAGTGCACTTGTGTTCTCTGTATGAGACCTCTCACCCCCCACCTGCCCCCCACCCACCAGATCTCCCCCCTCTGACCTCACACTGGGCTCTAACAAGACAACCAGCAGAGAAATGAACAGCCTAATTCAGCCTCTACTGTAGGAGTAATATGGACAGGCAGATGTGCAGTACTGTTCGAAAGAGACCGCCGTTCATTTAATTTCCATTCAAAAATACAGGTTTGATATTTATGAGAAGGTCATATTTAAGATAATCCACTTGCATAATGATTAATATAATATCTAATGATAGTTGAACAAGTCAACACAACATAAGTAGAACAAAACAGGAGTTTCCAGAACTGGAGTTTAAAAAATGGTTCAAAGCTACAGAGAAAACGTGGCTCCTAACAACCACCTGGAAGAGCTGGTCGACCCCAAAACTGCCCCCCATCAGATAAACAGCACTTAAAGCTTTCATCTCTGAGAGAGAGGAGAAAATCAAGCTGCTTCAGATCTGAAAACATCCACAGGTGTTTCTGTCCATCCTTCCACTGTGAGAAGACGACTCAGCGCTGTGGGTCTGAAAGGATGTGTAGCTGATCAAGAAGAACCTCACTGAGAAAAGGAGACGGACACATCAAACACAGAAGCTGAACGAAGGACTGACCACCCCAGAGTCCAGACCTCAACACCACTGAATGTGTTTGGAATCAGAGAACTTGTAGAGAGGAAAATTCCCACTCTATAATGTCTTCTGGGTTTCTCAAGCACTAGAGGGCGCTGCCGAGCGAGTCCAAAATGAAGGGGTTAATATGGAGCATTTGAGTGAAATCATAGTTTATAAATGCATAAAACATTTTAACACTGCTGTTATATTTTTAAGAGCTTTTAAACTCGAGTTATAGGAGTCTAAAACGGAGCCTCATGTACGTTCATGACGTCACTGAGCGCGAACAGCCAATGAGCTGCTCTGCTCGCCGACCAATCAGCACTCAGTAGCAGTAATGTTAGCGTCCTGCTCCCCAAACCTGTTTGCTGTAGAAAAAAGGAAACATACAGTGAGTTTTCTTGAAAGACATCCTTCTGCTTTCTAAAATTAAAGGAAAGTTCTGGTTCAGTGATTAGAAACTATTTTAACTTTTTGTTTTTAGCTGTTCAGCTCCATTTACTTCCATTCACTGAGGACGCGCTCGCGGGCGCCCTCTGCTGTTTTGCAGTCATGTCTTTTTATATAACGGGGGAAATAAGAAGTGGCCAGGCTCCTCATAAACCGGCTCTGGTTTGGGATTATCTCAGAAAATGATCAACCAGCTTCTAAGACTGAACTTTGGAGGTGTGTCTGCAGATTCTTTGAGGAACTGAAAGTGAGTCTTCTGACAAGAATGGAAGCTGGAATAAAGGCGGAGAGTGACACACTGAACACTCAGACAGCTGATGTTTAGTTTTTGACTGTAATTTTCTGTTAAATATGTTTTCTGCTTTTTTCCTGATGCTGAAAAATGAATAACTTGCACTAAATGGCTGTTTTGACTGGAAATTAAATAAATGTAGGGAGCTGTCTGACTTCTGCGCACTACTATACGTGTGCAGATGCACATGCTAATGCGAGCCGCCACTCCAGGCTGTGTTCAGTGTGAGTAAATGAAGGTGAATTGGAGCTAAAAGCTTCTTGACTTTTCTCGCTAATGGGAGAAGAGGAGGCCAGTAGCGCTCGCGCTCTGCAGTAGAGCACCTGCCGGATGAGCTGTATTATAGTCCTAATTGCAGGAAATGTGATTTCCTCTATTCTGTCCGTCTGTCTTCATCTCTCTCTCTCAGTAAGAGCTGCTTCGCTGGCCTGACTCACGCTGACAGCACAATAATGCAATAAAGCACGGTCAATAAACAGCAGCGTGCTGTATAAGGGGATATAAACAATGCTAATAGTCAATATCTGCCCACAGCTCCCACCCTGGAGGAGTACGACGGCTCTGAGGCCTTCCTGAACGAAACGGCCACCACCATCACCGTCCTGCTCAAACCCGCACAGGCCAAAGGAGCGCCCATCAGGTGGGGAGTTAGAGTGGACGCGTTGTCCACATTCCATCACTGACGTTGAGAGCAAGAGTGTTCTGACCAATCAGCGTATATACCATATATATCATATAAACACTCAGTGAGAGTATTTATCATGTCATATATACAGTCAAAGAGAGTGTATATCATGTATATCATTTATACAGTCAATGAGTATATCTATCAAATATATCATATACAGTCAAGAAGTGTATTTATCATATATATCATATATACAGTTATTGAGTGTCTATCATTTTTCATATATATATATATATATGTGTGTGTGTGTGTGTGTGTGTGTATATATATGTGTGTGTGTAGTACGCAGAGAAACAGATGGACTACAGTCTGTAACTGTAGAACTACAGAGTGAAAGTATATGGTCAGTGGAGCTGATACAGTGGGCAGTGAGTGTAGATACAAAGAGGTGGACTTAATGAAGAAGCTAATCGCTGTGTTTTGTTTCACATCAGACGCGTTCGCTAATCACAGAATTAGATGGGAGTATAAGAGAGTGTGTGTGTGTGTGTGCGCGTAGGTGGGGGTGTTGGGGGGATTATGGTGGATATGTTGACAGATTAGGAGATTAGAGTGTATCAGTATTGTTAAGGCCTGTGTCGTTACAATAGATGATATCTGTAGATGCGGCAGATTGGAGCGTCTGATGAATTATTAATCAGACGAGGGACAGTGCTGCTCTCATATTTACCAGTTTTCGTTTATTTTTCCTGTTTTTTCCACTTTCACTTTTCTGCTAACATTAAAAACAGCCTGCCTTTATAATTATATAGGAAAGTTAGTTAACGTGTGTGTGTGTGTGTGTGTGTGTGTGTGTGTGTGTGTGTGTGTGTGTGTTAGAGATGGCCATCTGCTGTGGTCATTTGTAACAGTTTGTCATTGACAAGAGATACAGAAGGAGTGAGAGAGAGAGAGAGAGAGAGAGAGAGAGAGAGAGGAAAACAGAAAGAGTGGAAAAGGAAAAAGGGGAAAGAGATCAAGAAAGGAAAGAGAGGAAGGAGAGAGCAAAGAGAGAAGGGGAAATTGAGGAAAAGAGCAAGGGGAAGACAGAGAGAAAGAAAGAGAGAGAGAGAGTGTAGTGTGTTTTAGTCCATCTGTGAGAGCAGTCTGGGATGTTGGAGGCATTTTGCATCTGTCAGGTTTACTCACACACGCACACACACACTCACTCACACATACACACACACACACTCACTCACACATACACACACACTCACTCACACATACACACACACACACTCACTCACACATACACACACACACACTCACTCACACATACACACACACACACTCACTCACACATACACACACACTCACTCACACATACACACACACACACTCACTCACACATACACACACACACATACACACACACATATACACATACACACACTCACTCACACATACACACACACACATATACACATACACACACACACTCACACATATACACATACACACACTCACTCACACATACACACACACACATATACACATACACACACACACTCACACATATACACATACACACACTCACTCACACATACACACACACACATATACACATACACACACTCACTCACACATACACACACACACATATACACATACACACACTCACTCACACATACACACACACACATATACACATACACACACACACTCACACATATACACATACACACACTCACTCACACATACACACACACACATATACACATACACACACTCACTCACACATACACACACACACATATACACATACACACACTCACTCACACATATACACACATATACACACTCACACACTCACACATATACACGCACTCATACACACACATATACACACACACACACACACACACACACTCATACACACACACACACTCACACATATACACACACACACATATACACGCACTCATACACACACACACACACTCATACACACACACACATGCACACTCACTCACACACACTCACTCATACACACACATATACACACACATACATACTCATAGTCACACACACACTCACTCACATACATATACACACACTCCTACACATACACATATACACACACCTGTCGAATAAGCAGAGGAGATTGAGGACAGAAAACTCAATCCTAAGTCATACAACTCTAGCGGAGGGATAAAGAGAGGGAGGAGAGGACGAGAGAGAGAGAGGAGGATAAGAAAGAAAGACAGGAAGAGAGAGAGGGGGAGGATGGGAAAGAAAGAGAGAGAGAGAGAGAGAGGACAGGAGGAGACAGACGGGAAGAGAGAGGAGAATGAGAGAGAGAGAAAAATTGTGTGTGAGAGAGAGAGAGAGAAAGAAAGACAGGAGGATGAGAGAGAGAGAGAGAGAGGCCATAAGAATTAGAGTCTTAAGAATAAAATGTTCTGAAATGTTCTCATGAAAACGCTGTTTATAATCTTAACAGTTGTTTCTCGATTTCCCTTCTTACACTTTCTCTGAGGAACAATCCCAAAACCAGGTGTTATTCCTGAGAAAACAAAGCAAAAAAATTATACTTAAATAATTTCTCAGTCCTACAGCAGCCTTACAAGAAGTCCGTAGTTTTGGTGGAGTGGTCCTGCTCTGACGGCTGTGTGTTTGTGTTTGTTTCTCTCAGCGCGTATCAGATTGTGGTGGAGGAGCTGAACCCCCACCGGACTCGGCGCGAGGCGGGCAGCATGGACTGTTATCAGGTTCCAGTGTCCTACCAGACCGCCGCCAGCGGGGGGTCACCATACTACTTCGCAGCAGAACTTCCACCCGGGAATCTTCCAGAACCTTCTCCATTTACAGTGGGAGATAACAAAACCTACCACGGCTACTGGAACGCCCCGCTGGCCCCCAGGAAGAACTACAACATCTACTTTCAGGCCGTCAGCAGCGTGGAGAAGGTCAGCAGACCACTGCCTCACTGACCACTTTATTAGAAACACACACCTTGTACTTCCACTAACTGGCCACTTTATTAGAAACAGCCACCTTGTACTTCCACTAACTGGCCACTTTATTAGAAACGCTTAGCTTGTGCTTTCACTCACTGGCCACTTTATTAGAAACACATACTTTGCTTGACTGGCCACTTTATTAGAAACACCCACCTTGTACTTCCACTCACTGGCCACTTTATTAGAAACACATACTTTGCTTGACCGGCCACTTTATTAGAAACACCCACCTTGTACTTCCACTCACTGGCCACTTTATTAGAAACGAATAGCCTGTGCTTTCACTAACTGGCCACTTTATTAGAAACTTTAGCTTGTGCTTTAACTCACTGGCCACTTTATTAGAAACACATACTTTGCTTGACTGGCCACTTTATTAGAAACACCTTGTCTCTCTTGCCACTTTATTAGAAACACCCACATTGAATTTCCACTAACTGGCCACTTTATTAGAAACACCTACCGTCTCTCACTGGCCAGTTTATTAAAAACACTACCTTCTCTCACCGGCCACTTTATTGGCCACTTGTCTCACTGGCCACTACTAGAAACACCTACTTTGCTTGACTGGCCACTTTATTAGAAACACTTACCTTGTCACACTGGCCACTTTATTGGAAACACCCACCTTATGTTTCCACTAACTGGCCACTTTATTAGGAAGACCTACCTTCTCTCACTGGCCACTTTATTAGAAACACGTATGTCATAGCTCCACTGTGAAGATGTACAGTAGCTGTGTGTAGTCCGTCTGTTGGATCTACAAGGTCAGCTTGTCCTCTGTCATGTGTGGTGTGTGGAATATTTTGCCGTGTTGGGGGGGATTAGAGGTGATGCTGATGGCGGTGGGCAGATCCTGAGCTGATATTGTGCGTGTTTTATTTTCCTCCACAGGAAACCAAAACGCAGTGTCTGAGATTGGCAACTAAAGGTGAGGAACTACTTTATTGCTTTTCATTTCAGCGCTCTCTCTCTGGGACGAGGGAACTGGACGTATTGCTCATTTCCTCTCTATCTGTCTCTCTCTCTATCTGTCTCTCTCTCTATCTGTCTCTCTCGCCCATTCCATCTCTCGCTCTTTTCTTCTTCTCTATCTCTCTTTCTTTTTCTTTCTTCCGCTCTCCATTTTTTCTGTCTCTGCTTTGCTCTTCTCTCTCTTTCCTGTGCCCCCCCTCTCTCTCTCTGTCTCTGTCTCTCTCTCTCTCTTTCTCTCTCTCTCTCCCTCTCTCTCTCTCTCTGTGTGAGGTGAATGTCTCTCTGTCTGTCGTTGGCAGCAGTGGGGATTGCAGAGGCGGATTGGAAGCTTCAGCAGAATTATAAAAAAGCTTATTTGTGATCTTTTTGATATATTTGCTGGTAAAGCACCTTGTTTTGCTGAGCTGCGATTTTCCAACAGAGCACGAGGACAAACTGAGCCAATTCGCATGATTCTTATGTCATCAGAGATTATCAATAATCCGCGGTTTTCATCGACCACTTAAAATAGCAAGTAATCAATTTTATTAACTGTTTCTATAGACGGTCAGTGATGTTTGGCTTCTTCTCATCAGGCTAATCTTAAAAAAATGAGAACCTGTACCGTTTCATACTATTTATCATCTACTCTATAGACTGTCCCATTTTATACTACTTCTACTACATCATCTACTCTATAGACTGTCCCATTTTATACTACTTCTGCTACATCATCTACTCTATAGACTGTACCATTTTATACTACTTCTACTACATCATCTACTCTATAGACTGTACCATTTTATACTACTTCTGCTATATCATCTACTCTATAGACTGTACCATTTTATACTACTTCTGCTATATCATCTACTCTATAGACTGTACCATTTTATACTACTTCTGCTATATCATCTACTCTATAGACTGTACCATTTTATACTACTTCTACTACGTCATCTACTCTATAGACTGTACCATTTTATACTACTTCTGCTATATCATCTACTCTATAGACTGTACCATTTTATACTACTTCTGCTATATCATCTACTCTATAGACTGTACCATTTTATACTACTTCTACTACGTCATCTACTCTATAGACTGTACCATTTTATACTACTTCTGCTATATCATCTACTCTATAGACTGTACCATTTTATACTACTTCTACTACGTCATCTACTCTATAGACTGTACCATTTTATACTACTTCTGCTATATCATCTACTCTATAGACTGTACCATTTTATACTACTTCTGCTATATCATCTACTCTATAGACTGTACCATTTTATACTACTTCTACTACATCATCTACTCTATAGACTGTACCATTTTATACTACTTCTACTACGTCATCTACTCTATAGACTGTACCATTTTATACTACTTCTGCTATATCATCTACTCTATAGACTGTACCATTTTATACTACTTCTACTACATCATCTACTCTATAGACTGTACCATTTTATACTACTTCTGCTACATCATCTACTCTATAGACTGTACCATTTTATACTACTTCTGCTATATCATCTACTCTATAGACTGTACCATTTTATACTACTTCTGCTATATCATCTACTCTATAGACTGTACCATTTTATACTACTTCTACTACGTCATCTACTCTATAGACTGTACCATTTTATACTACTTCTGCTATATCATCTACTCTATAGACTGTACCATTTTATACTACTTCTACTACATCATCTACTCTATAGACTGTACCATTTTATACTACTTCTACTACATCATCTACTCTATAGACTGTACCATTTTATACTACTTCTACTACATCATCTACTCTATAGACTGTACCATTTTATACTACTTCTGCTACATCATCTACTCTATAGACTGTCCCATTTTATACTACTTCTGCTACATCATCTACTCTATAGACTGTACCATTTTATACTACTTCTGCTATATCATCTACTCTATAGACTGTACCATTTTATACTGTTTCTAAAATATCATCTACTCTATAGACTGTACCATTTTATATTTTTTTCTACTATATCATCTGTTCTATAGACTCATTCTATACTACACCATTCTATACTATTTCTACCATGTCATCTGCTCAGTAGACTCAATAGACCATTTTATTCTATTTCTGCCAAATCATCTGCTCAGTAAACTCAATAGACCATTTACAATACCATACCATTTCTAGTATCATCTACTCTACTGACGATACCTTTTATACTATTTCTACTATATCATCTACTCAATAGACTACCATTTTATGCTGTGTATACTGTATTTCTTCTTGATATTTCATGTGGCAGTGCCACTGAGAAAACCCCTTGTCCATATCAGAATACTTAGCAAATTTGTTTTGTGAAGGAATTTGAACCAAGCGCTGATCTAAAGAGCATTTTCAGTAGAGAGTCTCTGTTTATGGTGCAGTTTAATCCAGGCCTCCTCATAATCCAACCCTAGTTATGTAAATGCTCACAAATGGACACGTGAACCTGCTTCAGTGCTGAGTGCTAGCCGTCATGCTAGCTTTGGCGCTGCACTGCTACTTGCCTTTTGGGTCTGCTGTAAAACAGCTTTGCTTGCATTCCTGCCCAACATCTTTTCTCCACACAGTCTCAGTGTGAGGTGCTGCACTACAGTCCTGCACTAATGACGGACGTTCCCGTCACGTCTTCTTTGGAGCCTCGTTGTTGCTGTCCTTTCCTGTGTAGCTGGCTAAGCTACGCGGCCCAGCTCGTCACTTGTTTGTTATTGTTTTAGTTCGGTGACATATGGTGCTTTTTTCGGACCTGTGCCGTGTTAATGCTTATTTGTGCTGCTTTTTCTGGGATTTTTTTTAAGTGCAGGCAGAAGCTTTCTGAAAGAGCTGCGGCAGGAGATTAGCGAAAGTGCTGCTAGCTAATCCGTAGACAGCTGGACGAGCATTAGCACGTAGCCGCTCTCGGGCAGCTGTGAGTTTTCCTGTGAAGAGAACAGTCTGTCTCTTAAACTCTTTAAACTGCTAATCCTCCGCTTCCTCTCGCGCCGCTGTTTGTCCGAGGCCTGTGTGCTTTTGACATTATGGTTGTGAGGTTTTGGGGGGAGCTGTGCTGAGATGGACGCGGACGGACTTGTTTTGAGGTTTGTTTTGTGTGACGGAGCGTCGATGCCGTTCCTGCGGCTTTAGGGTTCGATTTAGGATCGGATTTCTGTTCAGCAGAAAGTGACTTTCACCATGAAAATGAAAATAAATATTGTGATTTCATTTCTGCACAGATGCCATTTCTAACTATGTTAAGTTTAATTTCATAACTGTATTTCATTCAGTCACATACAGAAATCTGACATGTCACATATGGAGCCCCTAAAGGGACATGGTGTTTATTTATTATATATATATATATATATATATATATATATATATATATATATATATATATATATATATAAATATATATATATATATATATTAGGTAAAAATCTGGTGCGCACCAGATGAGCACCCAATACTATCAAGTGAGCAAGATATACTATATACTGAGCACCCTATACTATCAGATGAGTATCCAGTACTATCAAGTGGGCACCATATACTATGTGGTGAGTACCTAATATTATCAGGTGAGCACCCAAAACCCAATACTGCCCAATAGATTCTCATCACATAGTATATGGTGCTCACTTGATAGTACTGGGCGCTCAACTGATAGTATCAGGTGCTCACCACATAATATCTGGTGCTCACTTGATAGTATTGGGGGTCCCTTCACATCCTTTCAGGGGCTCCATAGTCACATATATGTCCATACGTGACAAATATTAGTTGGATATAAGGGGCATCCATATTTGGTAATATATGACGTATAATTGAAATCCATATATTGCCAGATTTCTGTAGGGGATTTATTATTTATGTTTGATTGATAAAACAATAAAGCTTTAAGGAACCAAAGAACACTCAGCTCTTCTGGTGAATGTATATCATTTTGATATAATTAATTGTCTCAATGAACAGATTTCATTAATATACATTTCATTAATATTCCTGATGACGGTGATGTTAGCTGTTTTGTTCCAGCACTGGAGCAACACTAACAAAAATAAAAGGCAGATCCGGTTACTTTCACTTTCAGGTTTTCTGGTATCCATGGCGATCAGGTGGAGCCTGAGAAAACTCTGCCCACTCTGCTACACTGGTGACAAATTCCCTCTGGAAAACTAGTCCCTTCTCTGAAAGAACCAACTATACAGATTTACAGCTTAATTTACACTCACTGAGCAATTTATCAAAGTATTCTGCCAAAGTACAGCCCTATGCAAAAGTTAGGGCGCCCCTGGTCAAATGACATGTTCTGTTGATTAAATAAGTTAACACATGTAATTTGACCAGGGCGTCCAAACCTTGGCACATGACTATAGCCACAGATGTAGAGGCTAAAAAAAATGCAAATCCTTCTGCATTAGCCAGAAAAAAGAAAAAAATTAACAGCCTGCTTTCAAATATCCATCCCAAAAGGGTTTGTAGCTTTCCAAAAATTCCTCCCACCTTCAAGATGCATCATCAGAAGGGGCGTTTCCCCTTTTATTGCTCCCACCTACAAGATACACATGATGTAATACATGTAAAATAATGTTATTATATAAATGGTACTTTTACAATACAAATGAGACGTATTGTTACATAAGTTATGTACGTATATACAGTCGTTTGCTTGTGCGCCTCAGTCAAATTTCCTAGTTCTTAACCCGGAAGATCTCTGTAGAGACCACTGCAGCACTGCTGTAGGAGGAAAGTCGGCATGTCCACAATAGTAGCGATATTGAACCTTGCTCTTTTGGCCAGGACGCCCCTTTAAGGTACCTAGCTAGCTGAGAAATCCTCCCGCAGGAAAGCGCCCCCTGGTGTTGCTGCAGCGGACTGTGATTTGTCTCGATTGCCCTCCTCAGAGGATGGTTCTGAATTACAGTCGCGATGCACAGCACTCGACCTCGCAG